CCAGCATGTAATTAGAGAAAAGGGGAGAGCTGTGCAATGCCCCTGGGGCTTTCCAGCCTCACTCTGAGGTTTTTTCATGGGGTGGCAGAAGAGAGAGAAGGAGATGCAGCCAGAGCCACAGCCGATGGGAAACTCTCTGGTGCAGGACGGGGGATCTGCCCTCTGGAGCTCCCCGACACACAACAGTTGTGCAGGTTGTGAATTGGGGGGCTGCCTTTGAGGAACTTCCAGGCAACCTCTTTCTTGGCTGTTCTGTCCATGGGAAGGCTTTAGCCGCTGCCACCCAGCTGGCCTACCTTAGAGGGTTGTTGTGAGAGGAACAGAATGAGAATATTTGGACCCCTGCCCTGCAGAGATGGAACTCAACCAAGGCCTGTTGGTTTGCAGAAAGATAGACCTGGTTCTTGCCAGCAACCACAGTATCAGAGGAGATGCTAATTAGGAGATGCCTAATAAACATGATACTGTAACCTTTAAGGACATGAACATGTTCAGCAGATGCCAAACTTGGGCTGTGTGCATGTCCATCTGTTTCTGTGTCCATGCATGCATGCAAGGGGCAGCCAACAATGTCTTTCTGCTCAGGGCCCATTTTGCAGCTGGGGCTCCTCCCCCCATGGAAACTGGTCCAGCACGGAAGGGAGGCTAACTGTCCCCCCAACACAGAGGATCCCCAGCCTTGGGATGGGAGGACCAGCTCAAAGCCTGGCCTCTCCAGATAGACCAACCCTCCCCACACTGGTGCCCTCCAGATGGGCGGGACTGGATATCCCATCATTCCTAGCCAACATGGCCCTTCCTAGGATGATGGGAGTTGAAGTCATCAACTGCTGGAGGGAAAGGCTGGTGAAAATTATTTCAGGCTCAAGCTGAAAACTCGGGAAGGAGCCTGGAGGGGTGGGGGGTCTGGAAGGGCCAAGGGCCTCCCGAGATGAGGCAGCTTCGGGGAGGGCTGTGCCTGGAGAAAGAGGCCCCCAGTGCTTGGGCAGAGTCCTGAGAGGCTTCAGCCTGTCTCACGTTTGGCTCCTTCCAATATCCTGGTTCAGGAAGCAGCCGGCATTTCGTTTGCGGGGATTCTCCAGGCCCACAGAGGCCGGGTTCACACAGCAGATTTAACCGGGCCAGCGATACTCCTGGGAGGTGCCTTTGCACAACTTCTCACACCGGGTTAGTGGCAACCTTGGTGAATTTTCCCCTCTGGGACTCAAGTGTTTTGTGTATGAATCCCCCTGTTTGCACAAGATGGTGCACCAGAAACTAACCAGTCTCTGAAAATAAACAAGGTTAAGCCTGCTGTGAACCCAGACAGAACAGAGTATCTGAAGCTATGCAGAACAGAGTATCTGCAGCTGATACACAGAAATGTATTTTCCAGAGACCCATCCAGCAATTGGAAGGTCCCTCTAAGGACCTTATAAATAGAGACCGTGAAAGGGAGGCAGAATCTCATTTCTCTTCCCCACAGGCACGGCCTAATTTCCACTCTGGACATGCTCTGTGGAAGGCTGACAGCAGAAGAAAGCAGGAGATGGTTCAAGCCCTGAAAAGACAGTTGCATCTTACTCATACTTTGCTCGTCATAAGAAGTGTAAAAGCAGCAGCAGCAGCAGCAGCAGCAATTCATTATCAACTAAATTTGGCTATCGTCATAACAACTATCATAACTGGAATAATGGTTTACTATTTTAGTCCAACATTCCCTAGAAGAACCACCAAAGGAGGGAGCAGCCATCTTAGTTTATTGCAGGAAAACCGAAGAGCTCTGAAGCTTCCTGAAGATTAATGTCTTCGCTGGAGAATGACAAGAAATGGAGAATTAGGGTTTTTTGTACCCCTGGCCTTTTCCCATGGGAAAGACACGTCTTCGCCTTTAAGGTACCACAAGAGCCTTTTGAGCAGAACCAAGTTTACTTGGGGTTTCCAACCTTCACCTCACTTAACGACCACAATTGGGAGATAGTTCTCACTCACAATTGGGACTGGAATCACAATAGTTGAGTGAAGCGGTCTTACCCATGTGACTTTCGCTCAACGACTGCAATCCAGGCACTCCCAGTTGCAGTTGTTAAGCGATCTCCCAGGGTGTTAAGCGAG